GAAGGGCATTTTGCACTATACTGAATACCTCAGCTAATTTTTAATAGGCGAGTGTTCAAGGTTACATCTTTAGCTGATTCTGAATATAAGTGTTTGACTTTCTGGCAAAGCTGGAAATCAGCCTATTTATCTCTAAGTTAATAACCTAATGTTCTGACATTTAATGCAGCCTTTCCCATCCTCTTATTCTCACATACAATATTACAATTCTCAAGTAGCAGTGATATTAGTTGATGTCCCTACCCACACTGGAGGACACACACTGGACTTAGTTTTTGCCTCTGGCCAGTGGTTGAGTGATCGTGGTTTAGGGGAAATAGTCGTTGAGCCCCTGTCATGGTCAGATCACTCTCTCCTTCGGCTGGCCTTTCCTACCGCTACGCCCCACCGCGGGGAGGTGGAACCAGAAGTGACAAAATGGTTCCGCCCCAGGCGCCTGATGGACCCTGAGAGGTTCCAGACAGAGCTTGGGCCAATACCCGAGACCTTGACCCACGGCTCGACTGAGGACCTGGTGGCCGCCTGGAATGGTGCGGCCGCGGGGGCCCTGGACCAGGTCGTGCCTTTGCGGCCCCTCACCCGATCTACCTTGGCTCCTTGGTTCTCCGAGGAGCTGAGGGTTATGAAGCATCGGAGATGCCTAGAGGGTAATTGGAGGGCCACCCGCTCCGAATCCGATCGGAAACTGGTAGTCCCATTTAAGGACTTACCTAGTGGCGATAAGAGCGGCGAAACAAAACTATTTCTCCGCCCTTATCGCGTCTGCAAGTAACCGATCTGCCGCCCTGTTTAGGGTGTCCTGCTCCCTCCTTCATCAGAGGGTCTGGGACGTCCCTTTGCACGGTCGGGCAGAGGAATTTGGGTGTTACCTGCATGACAAAATCGATCGGATCCGGGCCAGGTTAGCCTCCGATTGGACTAGTTCAGACGGGCCAACGGAGGCAGGTCTTGAGTCCACTTTGTGGGAAGAGTTTGATCCTGTGACTCCCGAGGACATGGACAGGATGCTGGGACGGCTGAACACCACATGTCTACTGGACCCGTGTCCCTCCTGGCTGGTACTGGCCTCCCGGGAGGTTACACGAGGCTGGCTCCAGGGAATCGTCAACGCTTCTTTGAGTGAGGGGTTCTTGCCGGCCGCCTTGAAAGAGGCGGTGGTGAGGCCCCTCCTCAAGAAGCCCTCCCTGGACCCGGCTGTTTTGGCCAACTACTGTCCTGTCTCCAACCTTCGCTTTCTTGCGAAGGTTGTTGAGAGTGTGGTGGCACGACAGCTCCCTCAGCACCTGGAAGAAACTGTCTATCT